ACTCTTAAGGACGCGTCTGCATAATACTTGTTTCCTGTAGCACGTGGGTTTCTAAATCACTTTGATCATTTCCTCGAAAGAGCACTCTCGGTTGCCAGAACTACGCAGATATTAAGAAAACCTCGTGCACCTATTATGTTCGCGTAACCGAGAATGCGCAATACGTTAAACTAGGATAACGCTACGAGTGCTAGACTTAGGTTTATTTCTAGACCGGTTACCCGGATATGTTCTTGGAACCCAGATTCTTCATCGTTTTCCGTTTGTTTTTAGAGATGGGCATGAATAGCAGTAACCGTAGAAATTATTTCAGGACCTATTCTTTTGTTATTTTCAAATTTAACTATTTTGTACGGATCAAAATTATAGCACGACTATTTATCATTTGAAAAGCACCGATGTTGTATTTGATTTGTTATGCAGTATATAATTTAATTTAGTTCGTAAAATATGTTGATAAATCAATTTAAAGACGTTGCTAATACCGCATATAAGAATTCTCCCCACAATCATAAATAAATAATTATGCTAATTTAGTGCCATTTCTAAGGCTCCAGAATCCTAATCAAAATCACGAAACTTGCAAAAGCATTCTTACCGCAGATCTCATCAAAAGAACCGTTGCCTCCATTGTATTCCGAGGGCATCAGTTCTTCCAAGCCAGGTACACTCTCATAAGCTGGCTTTAAATCCTTCTGCAGCACTAGAATCTGCGGATAGATGAAAACAATTTTCCTCATTACTCGGAGGCAACATGTCGGTACACCTTTCCTGTATAATCAAAGTATAAATATGGATGCCGTGTGGGAATTCATAATACACCTTATATGCTTTCATTAACGTCGGTGGAATAAATATGCGTGAGGACTCCTTATGGAGAAAATAGTTGCGGCGTGAGTATAATTTAAAATTTATGTACCGGAAGGTTGATTTTATATCAGCGTTTTGTTCCTACTTGAAGAACTTGAAGCAGACTTTCAATAATCGCGCCAAACTTAACTTAATCTATCTCAGCACCTTGGATGTCCTTACACGTCCTGAGCAAAATCTCTGAGAAGCGAGCAAAATGTGTCTAACTTTGACTAAACAAACTCGCGACGAAAATAAAAATTTTCTCATTTTGACTTTTACAAAGATTCTTCCCTTCTCCATAATACGTTTATCTAAGACAGCGGCCACTTCGAGAAATCCGGGAAATTTCCATCGTTTTTAGTATTGGAGCTACAGATATCTCATCTGCTTCAGCCCTCTAGAAAATCGTGGCGGCGCCTTCTTCTGCCGGCATTTAGTACCAGTAAAAGTTTTTATTTCTATGCGATGAGACTGAAAACAGGTTTCGTCGATATATGAAACAGTTCATTCAGTCCATTTTCAATTTTGAGCTCATGTCACAGGTTTTAAAAAACTACGTTATAAAACATAATGTCCCTCGAGATGCAGTCTAACAGAATGACAATATCTAATAGCGGTTTTGATTTTAAGTTTCTTTTTTGTCCAAAGTATGGCACGTGAGGCATAAACAAAGTTAGACGAGTATTAGGTCTTTGAACATGGGTTCAGTCCTAAGAGTATAGTTTCTTTTTCGTGAGTATTGCAGGCAATACTAAATTCGGGTTTCCTTTTAACAGCCCCGAAGCAAGTATCTCTGACGATAGGGAATAATCCTGGAGCCCAACTCACAACCAGATTAACTTCCAAATCTTCTAGTTTATGCTGTTTATTGAATTATTCAAATAGCTTGTGTTTGCCTCTACTAGGAGAATAGCATTTGATGAATGTGGTAATTTGCCAAGTACACGCCTTACGTGCGTGTATGCGGTACTGTTTCTCGGAAATCATATTGCGTGTGTTTGTATCACAATTTAGTGAAATTCTTAAGACATATTAGCCAATGAAGTACTTCTTACCTTTGATTTCGTCTTCTCATTGAACCAGGATGACGCTGCCTTGAAGAACACTTCGACGACCGTGGGCATATTCAGGTATATCAGCTTTTTTATGCGATAGGGTTGAGCTTCCTAAAACAGCACAAAAAGGAGTTCGGTGATTAATTCTCGCACCTTAATGGTACCGCACGCTGTCCTTTACGTTCCTTTTGTTAATTTAAGATCCAGGCTGAGAATTGTTCCCCATTAGACCTGTTGCCTTGGCAATGACTGGCAAAGACATTCTTCGGTCCAAAGGCTTTAATAAGTAAAAAAGCGTTTCCCGGGCATAAGCCGAGAGGTAGGCCCACCGTGGTGTGACAAAGAGCATTCCCTAACAGTGGGCACA